GAAGGCCTGTACTGTTATATGGGGGCTGAGGGGAGGGAAATACGGGGGGAAACAGGGATGGAAGAAGGGGAGGGAGTAAGGGGAAGGAAAGTATGAAGCCCTAACCTACCAGCTGTATCACGGCTAAGAATAGTAACAACAATAAAAACAAGAGAAGGTGGCAAAGAAGGGAAATTAAGATTATTCACAAAAGTAAACATTTTACAGATAACAGATGGCAGGGTTATCACCATCAGAGATGGGAAATACAAATACAGAAAGAAATTAAAAAACACTAGGAGACTTGTTTCACTGATAAAGAATTACACTTGCCTACTAATGAAGACAAAGCAAAGAGTGGGTAAAAAACAAAACAGAAAAAGATACCTGCAGAGACCATCTGATTCAAACGCTTCCTTAGGATTCCTATAAAAATCGTTCCAAAAATAAAAGTACTACACGTGATGATTCAAAATTATCACTTTCTAAATATTTTAGTGTTAGCAAGTCATCACTGTGTCATTCTAGTTCAAGTTCAATTCCTTTTCGATGACAGCTCTCAGACTGGCCAAAGCACTGTAACAAAAAGGATTCTGAGGTGGGCTACTGAAACTGACAAAAAGAAAAAATGTTTTTGCCTAATATTGTGCACATGAAATTATAATATCTACCAAGGAAAAAGAAACTGTATTTTATATTCAAAAAAGTTAAATGCCAACTAAGTTTTTATTTCAAAAATGTTCAGTCATCCCAAGTAGGCTAAACATTAATAACATCAGACTGAGACTAACCAGTGAACTAGTTCCTAACCTATCAGTTAGCAATTTACTCCATTTCTCTGGAATTTTTCTCGGTCTGAAACAGAAGGTACTAGTAACTGGTCCATAGATATTTCAAAGGAGGATGATGAAAATACGAGAACATTGCCAGCACAGTGATGCAGAAGGCTAGTCCCCCAGCTGCAGCATTGGCACTCCGTATGGACACAGGTGGCCATCCCAGCTGTCCCACTCCAATCCAGCTCCCTGCCTAATACCTGGAAAAGCAGCTGAGGAAGGCCTGAGCCCTTGGGCCCCTGCACCATGTGGGAGATCTGGAAGAAGCTCCTGGCTCCGGGCTTCAGAAAGGCTCAGCTCCAGCTGTTACAGTCAATTGGGGAGTGAACCAGTAAAGATTTCTCTTTCCCTCGTGTGTGTGTGTGTGTGTGTGTGTGTGTGTGTGTGTGTGTAACTTTGACTTTCAAGTAAAATAAACGTCTTTTAAAATTATACCCACATACACATATATGAAGACGACCAAAAGAAGGTAATATCCTTTGTGTACCTGTGTTAGAGGTCCCTGGGAACATCTCAGGGGAGAAGATTCATTAAGACGACTCACAATCATATTAATGGATAAAACATATGCCAGTAAAATGAAACAAAACAAGCAAAGAAAAAGACACAGGAGAAAAAGCTGAAGAGAACCAGCAGTGAGTTCCCCATGGGGTCACACAGGATATTAACTCCTCCAGCAACAAGCTGTGATGACTTACCCAACATGTTATCCTCCATGGATTCCTAAGAAACCAGTGTTGGGATTTTACTGGAGACTGGTCATGCAGAAATTCCAGACTCCCGGAAGAAAAATGAATGTTCACCATAAATCACATTGTTTCTACTGTTTATGCACGGCAAATTTAACATTCAGAACAACACATTTCCAGAATGTTCACTGTACTGTCTGAAGGTATGTAGAGGTACAATCACCGTGGAAAACCGGCAATTCTCGCATATATAACCACATGTAAAGGAGCCTTTGCCTGCCTATCTTATCAATGGAAATGAATGAATGTTCACAACAGAACATAACAGCAAAATCTCTGTAACAATACAATCCGCTAATTGCCAAAAAAAAACTGGACACGAAGTATGAAATGACATGAACAATCTGCATACTAACAAATACCTAATGTTGACAAAGAGAAGCTAAATATAGGGCCCAGTGTGAAGACTCAATTGGTTAATCCTCCCCTTGCCAGTGCGAGGATCCCATATGGGTGCCAGTTTATAAACCAGCTGCTTGTGGCCTAGGAAAGCAGCAAAGATTAGCCCAAAGCCTTGGGCTCCTGCACCCACTTCGGAGGCCAGAAGGAAGCTCCTGGCTCCTAGCTTCAGCTCTGGTCAGCTCCAGCCATCGTGGAGTGAACCAGCAGATGGAGAATCTTCCTCTCTGCCTCTCCTTCTCTTTGTAAATCTGCCTTTCCAATAAAAAGAAATAAATCTTTAGGAAGCTATAATAAAATTGTAGCAGGGTACAACTTGACTTACAGGGAGTTTAAGAATAGACAAGCCTAATCAGCAGTGACTGTTCCTCTCCAGGAGAGAATGGCTGGAAGGAACAGCGAGGGAGTGCTCTGGCGGACAGGACTAGAACATACAGGATGTATGCTGATACTGGTGATTAGCAATAGCAGCATGAAAATTTCTCCAGTGTATCTGTCAGATCTGTGCATTTTATCACACGCAAATTACAAAGACCTGGGATTCCAGCGTAGTGTTATGCAGTGTAATCAATGTACAATGGCTTGTTGAGGACACCGATGAGATAAAATGCTTGAACCAGAATGTCCAATAATAGTCCACTTCCTTTAGAAAAAAGCCCTTCTACGAAAACAACATAACAGGCTGGTGTGAAGAGCTGCCTACCCTTAACTGTGCCAGTGACACAGTTGTCACAGAGTTGGGTCACAGTTTTTCACGTGACCTGGCTTGCAATGCTTACTGTCACAGTGAACAAGAAAAGTGAGAACACGCTAAACTCCTTGTCAATTTAATTAGACAGTAACACGTAATTTGTTTTAGAAAAAGAAAGGCAAAAGGAAAAAATACAGATATTGGGATACAATACAAACAAAACTAGGAAGAGTGCAAGTATATCAATAAATGCAAATGTAACCGGACTAAACGCACTGGTTAAAAGAGAAAGACAAATTATAATATTAAAAAATAATGAACTATTTGCTATGCATTCAAAAGGCTGATCATGAAAGGAGGGAAAATACAAAAAATAAAACTGGTAAATAAAACTGGAATTGTAAGAATATCTGAAAAAGGTTTTAGGACAAAAAGCAGGAAGAAAAAAATCACTAAATAATGATTGAAAAGTCCAATTCACCAAGAAAAGCAGTTCTAAGAAGGTTATCTAACAACATAAGCTCAACAGACAAATCAAACAATTAATGGAACTCTAGGAAAAAAATTACAAATGCACCACCACATTAGGCGAGCTCGGCACATTTCGTTAGCCATGGTCTTCTTTTGGAGCTGAAATCATCTAGTGAAAGCACAGAAAACAGCACTTTCGTCACTTCCTATTCCATATTCAGAACCCTGCTGACCAAGAAGAAACTCATGAACTGTACACAGCAAAGAGCAATATACCCATTCTGAACTCTTTGTAGAGGAAGCTATTTTGTTGTCAGTTGTAGAACAGAGAAATAAAGACAGTACATCATTAAAAAGTGTCAAGTACCGAGTGGTTTGTTGCTGCCATCTGCTGGACATACTTTCTTTTGCACATCACCCACACTTTAAAAGGATTTCAATTGTAAGACACAATTGTAATCTTTGCTGCACCTCATCTGTCTGAGATGAAGATACTCCCTCTAAATATGTTCTGTCTTGGACTCAGGAGAGGAGCTTCCTCTGGTCCTTACCTGGTTTCAGCCTTAGCTCCCAGGCCTCTCGCATACCAACCAACAGGGTTGCTTCTGAGCCCCAAAATTAGTTCAGATAGACAGAGACTAATAAAAGTCAGCCAGCTGATAATCAGGCAGCTTGTACCTTACTGATCAGGCTTCCCATTTGGCTTTTCAGATAGACAGAGAGACATAGATACAGATATAGAAAAGCTGAAACAGCCAGGGAAAAGGCCAACTAGCCTATAATCGCTCAGCCTGTGCTTACTGGTCAGGCTATTTGCTTCTCCTGGACTTTACTAGGTAGGATGTAGAGTTAAATTCTTCCTCACTCACTGGGTTGTTGGGGATTTCCCTGCTCACCTGCCTAAACGTTTTCTATTCTTTAATTGTTAAAATGCAAAGTTCTGTAAAACCATGCTTAATTACTATATATTGCAAAGTTTAAATTTTGGCTTAATTTTCTCCCCTCCCCCCCCCAAAAAAACTGTATCAATTTATGACTGTTAATGTTAAACAAGATGTAACTGCACAGAAACTCTGATGTTAAGTTTGTACTCAGCTGTTATATATAGGATGGATGTTAATGCTGATGCTTCCACTGTTCCTGTGCCACTCTGATTCAGGTTAAACTCAAAAACATGTTAGCTTGGGAGAAAAAAGAAAAAAAAAATTTATAGCAGCAGGTTTTGTATATACTAAAATTGAGATGTCAAGGAAGTGGTTACAGGATGTGGTTAAGAACTTGTATTTTCTAACATACTGGTCACTCAATGCCATGTTAAATTAACTTGAAAATAAATAAATGTTTTCTGTCTTTGTACAACAAATTGCAGTAACAATGTCCATTATTTCCAAGTCACAGGTGTATAAAGTACAGAAAATTACAACACCTAAAAACCATTTGGAATTTAATATATCTACCGAGGCTACCATTAAGATTTTCTGGAAAATCACATACTGAATTATATGACTACATTTTATACTGAACTACATTTAGTCATTTTAAACACAATTATACTTTATTCATATGCTGGTATATTAGCTGTACTACTTGTAATAGATGTCTCCTTCGCTTCCCTAAGTGAGAAAGAATGGCCCAAGCTTAACTAAATAAATGTATGTATTCATGATGAATGTGCGTGCATCCGTTTAAGTCACCCAGCACATTCTCCATACTGCATTATGTTTCAGGGTCAGACACTTGACCTTGACAGACATCAATTCCTATTTTCCTAGCTGGGAAAGTTCATTCAAAAATTTTTTAAGTTAGTTAGTACCACCAGTTCATACAGTAAGGCAACCAAAGTATTCCCAAAAGTGGATACAAACTCATACATACTATGCTGTTCATTTCCGAGGAGTCATAGCTGCCAACGGGATGGACGTTTCCGATGGGCTCCAAGCCCTCCTCATCCCACATGTAGGTGCCGTCAGAGCTGTCAGATGGAGAGAGCTCGAATGAAGAACCAGCTCTGTAATCAGCATCTGGTGAAATCAGGTTACTCCCAGAAGTGTGTTTGGTACATTCACTCTTATCTTTGGTTTAGAGAGAGAGAGAACGAGAACGATTAATTCACAGAGATGTAATTACAATTCATGCTCTAGAAAAGTCTAATAATTTGACTATATTGCAACCAAAATATTGGTCAGTCCCCAAAAAACATAACTACAACTTTTTCTAGCTCCTAAGAAAACCTCAAGAGGTAAAAGTCTCGAATTAGGGACTGAAATATTTGATTTTATAACTGACACAAAGGAAGCTCATTTAAGGCATCTGTCATTTCTACATTTCTAAAACTATAAACAAAACCTTGTATTCCTTTACTATTTCCCCAATGTTTATTTTTTTTAAATCCTGGTAAGAAAACTCCCTTCCTCTGTATATATTATTTAGTCTCACATCTACTTCCTTATAAGGAAAAAGAATTTGTTCGGACAGTTTTAGAAGACTGGAAAACAGAAGCAATGAGGTATGCACAATACTCAACTCTGATCATTACGCAACGTACATGCCTACCGAAAGGCCACAGTGCATCCCAAAAATATGTACAATCACTGTGTGTTAACCAAAAAGCTTTAAATGAAGACCAGCAAACAACCAAGGAATAAGTGCATCTCCAGGCTTAGCTTGGTCTCTTGATTAGAACATGCGCTGGTATCCCATCCCTTCATTTTGCTCTTGTAATAAGCTATATGGCCACACAGAAGTATTTTCTCAACACTTCTGGGAGGAAACAGCAGGTACTACCTCTCTTTCTTCAATTAAGAAAAAAAAACTTTAGGGGCCCACTGGCAGTAGCCTAGCGATTCCACTTCCTATGATCCCTACTTGTGGCCTGTGGGGGCAGTCGAGGACAGCCTGAAGCCTAGGGACCCTGCACCCGCATGGAAGACCCAGAGGAGGCTCCTGGCTCCTGGCTGTGGATCAGCGCAGCTCCAGCAGTTGTGGTCGCTTGGGGAGTGAATCAACGGACAGATGATCTTCCTCTCTGTCTCCTCCTCTCTGTATATCTGACTTTCTAAAGAAAAGAAAATAAATCTTAAAAAAAAAAAAAACTTTAATTGAAGAATATACTCTGGAAGCATAATTATAGAAATTGCCAAACAAAAGAGACTTGTTTTTATGATAAAGAATCCATTGTAATGGCCATAACCTATTTATCTCACGAGCACTCCGGCACGGCTTCACTCCTAACAGCTATGACCTATTACCCTAGCGGACTACGTGGTCTGTTGTATGGGTATGCCATTAATTGGACATGTAGGGGGAAAACAGCTCTGATATTAAGAAGGCACAGGCTCACATGTGACAGCTAAAGAACAGCACGGGCAGAAATGTCCACAGTGATGTTCTATCAGCCACGGGGAGAAACAGGGAAGGCACCAAGTGACAGGGAGGACAGGTACATGTTGCCTCACTCCAACTCTAACCAGGACTATCCCCTGTATGAAATTCACAGCATCTGGGAATATATCAGGAAATAATCCTAAACAGAAGCTCTCTTACACTCTTTAAGAGAAAACAAATAAATGTAAGGTTATTCCGTATTTACCAGAGACACTTATATCAATCCACTCATCAGTTTTACTGAAGGGTTTTTCATTTTCCTTGGAGGGATCAAATCTATCCTTGGGTGGTACATCTTCCTGTTTTTCTTCTTTAAGAGAAATTTCCTCTGGAGTTATTCTAGTTCTGTTGGAGTCTTCTAGGTCAATGAAATCATCACTCAAGTCTTCACTTAAATCATTCTTATCAGAAGATGACAAAGAAGACAAGGAAATGTCATCCGCGTCGTCACTCAGGTATCTGATTTTCGCATCATGTTTCACAGTCTGGTCATTGTCTGTTCTGTAACTTTGATTTTCATTTAGTTCTTGGTCCTTCTCAGTAGCCCCAGCCTTGGCCAACGCTGTAGTATCTTCCTCTATACACGTGTCAGCAGTTGGATTTTTATTACCATCTACTGTGATAGTCCCGGAAAACGGAAGTCGACCAGGTTTCAGTAGAGAGGGATGAACCATTCTATAACCCAAAGTGGAAGTGACACTTGGGCCATTTGGTAAAGCCAACTTCTTCCCAGCAGCAGCGTAAGACCTATTAAATCCATATCCTAAGTGTTCATTGCCGTTGAGGATTTGTGATTGCCGGGAACTTCTGGTTAGCATACTTGACCGCAGAGGCACTCGAGCGGGTAGCTGTTGGTTCCGATAAGGCTTTGTAAGATCTACAGCTCGATTGAAGGAATGTGATCTGGTTATAGATGAGGGTGGAAGGAATGAATTCTGAATGGAATGTGAAAAACTTTGTGACCTTACCATTTTTTCACAAGTAAGAGACTTAATATTGTCTGGGGACTGGGCTAGGCTTTCTCCAGAACTGCTTCTGGTGGCACAAGAGTTAGCTCTGGGCCTTTGCATGGTACCAACTGATCGGTTTCCATAAAACCCATTCAACTGGGATTTTGGAGCACTGGCTGAAGAATACGAAGTCCTTCCCAGTAACGTGCCTCTGGTGAATTTTCCCAAATTAGACGGTCCGGACAAAGACTTTTGGTTCAACTCCTCTGCAGATGACACAAACATAGTGGGTGGCTTTGCTAACTTTGACGAAAGTAAAGAAACACTTCTCAACCCTCCCTTTAGCCCATTTGTATCAAACACCCCTTGAGTAGGAGCATGCTTTTCAGGCTCGATTAATTTGTCTTGTGAACTCTGAGTGTTGGTAGGATTTTTAGGATCTTCAGTACTTTGTGTGCTAAGCTGGTACTTATTTGTTTTTCTCCAGTTAAATGAGTGGGACAAGGGACAATCAGAGCCATTATTTCTGATGTAGCTTTTAACAGGACTACTCTTGGCTGTTCCTAATAAGTTCACAGGTGTCCCATTTGGCAATGGTTGCAGTGTACTTCTAACAGATTTTGTTCCATACTTCGGCAACTTGGAACCCAAAAATGCCTTGATTTGTGTTTTTTCTTCCATGAGCTAAAAGGTGCATTTGTTCTTAAAATCTGACAGAATCTGAGGGGAGAAAAAAAAGAGAAGAGATTAAACATTTCTAAGTGAGGGCAACTGCGTATATTATCACATAGTGTGAATGCCTACCTAATTCACTCAGAAAAGCTCAAAAGCTACCCAGGATTCTTACAAAACTCAACTAACAGTCAGTGTACTAAGTAAAATAATAACTTCCAGGATGGGAGGGAATAACACTGACTTTAAAATTTGCATAATAAATTTGGACTGTGAATGACAGCAATAATCAGAAACTATCAGGTTTACCAACTGGAAACAAAAATAATACTTGTGGAGCACAACTTTCAATTTCCAATCCAAGAATTATTTTTTTAAACTTTGTAACATTCTCACCTGTAAAAGTAACAAAATAACTATTTTGCTTTAAACAGAAAAAAAAAAAGGCCATGATTTTACACAACCTGGAATACATTTTAACAGCCTTAATTACTAAAATCCTGGGAAGGATTAGGCAAATAATGCAACACTGCCAAAAAGAATTCCTTTGGTATTAAGGGTTGAAGATCCCAGCTGTCACATTAAGCCACCAACTCCAAAGAATTTCTACCCAGGAACATAGACAGACACCACAGTTAGTGCAGGAGTGAAAAGGATTAAGATTTAATAAAGCTGATTCCTTCATTCATCCAATCCACATAGTTATTTTAATGATCATGAAAAAGTACAAACACAAGTTTCAATGCAGATGCAAGAGCATAAAACTAGAAAAAAAATGGGAGGTAAGTTATGGCATGGTTTGTGATGAGATAATAATGGATTAAAACGTGTGCTAACACAAACAGAAATATAGTCACTAACTAATAGCAATGACTCTACAAAATTTCTATACAAACACAAAAAATGGCAAAATGCAAATAAAAGAAAAATGTGTCCCTCAGGGTCAGTGAATGTTTACATTTCTAAAGATTGTTGCTAACTTGCTAACTTATTTAAAAAGTTAATTTCCATTCAAACTGGATTAAGAATGAGTTTCTAACAGTTGAATTTATCTGGACAATAAGATGCTGGACTCTGTGCATGGTACATGCCTGCAATGAAAGAAGCATGACTGGATTCGAACTGTAATACTGCAATAAAGGTGGAGTAATCCAGCATGGGGTGAGGCCACAGGAAAGGGTTGGGGGAACCTCAGAGCCTATGAAATAATGTCATAAAATGAAATGCAATAGGGCCCGGCACCGTGGCCTAGCAGCTAAAGTCCTCACCTTAAACACGCCAAGATCCCTTATGGACACTGGTTCTAATCCTGGTAGCTTCACTTCCCATCCAGCTCCCTGCTTGTTGCCTGGGAAAGCAGTCAAGGACAGCCCAAAACCTTGGGACCCTGCAACCATGTGGGATACCCGGAAGAAGTTCCTGGATCCTGGCTTCTGATCAGCACAGCACTAGCCATTGCAGTCACTTGGGGAGTGAATCATTGGATGGAAGATCTTCCTCTCTGTCTCTCTTGCTTTCTATATGCCTAAATTTGCGATAAAAATGAATAAATCTTTAAAAAAAACTAGTTCCATAATTTTGGCTTATTAAAACCAGCTCTATTCTTTGATGCTTTTTCTAATAAGAGGTGAATGTAAACATGTGTATATATTCTGTTAGGGTGTTATTTTCTTTTTTTTTTTTTCCTTTTAAGATTGATTCCATTTTCATTGAAAAGGTCGATTTACAAAGAGTAGGAGAGACAGAAATATCCTCCATCCACTGGCCCACTCCCCAAGTGGACAAGATAGCTGAAGCTGAGCTTATCTGAAGAGTCAGGAGCTTCTTGGGGCATGAACCTTCGCCCATATGGGATCCCAGCACATGCAAGGAAAGGACTTCAGCCACAAGGCTACCATGCTCAGCCAAGCGTACATTTTTCTAAAATTTCAACAGGCTTACCAATCCAATAAGCTAACACTACATATAGTATCTATAAAAGGTGCAAATCTGTGTTCAAATTGATTATTTTGCTAAATATTTCAAGAGTGACTATTTTGTGACAATGTCACAACTTAAAGATAATTCCCAAGAACTTAAAGGTACCCTAAAAATCTTTAACTAATATTATCCTGAATTAATGGATAATCGTTGGCTTATTAGATCATTTCTCTGAGAGAACACTAAATATTGATTACTGAGCCTAATTCTGTATTTATCTGCTTTTCATTTTTGCTATTGTTTGACTCAGGAAGAATGTAACAATGGACACATACATGAGCGTGCCTATTTTTATATGTTGAGAAATCATGCAATGGATTCCCCTTTCAGAAAACATTAACACTACATTATAAAAAATAAGCATGTTTGTACACATGTGTTTAAATATAACTTAACAGTGGTTAAAGGAAGAGATGATTTCTTTGTCTTTAAATCACTGAGTATTTCAAATTCACCTACACTTTTGCAGTCAAGTTTTAACAAAGATTAGATTCAGTAAGTCTATATAACAGTCTAACCTAAGTCTCCATAAAAATTATTTAATATCGTATCAGTTGTACATAAAAAGACATAAAAATAAAAGTTCTTCAGATAAAGAACAAAAAGGATTTTTTAAATTTCAATTATCATCACTTCTTCAAAAATGATCATTTCAACAATTCCAGATCTCAATGTAGCAGATATCTTTTATTAATTTTACCTTTAAATGTCTGAATTTATTCCAAACTTGTGACTTCTATTCCACAATTATTCCTGTACTACTACTGCCAGGGCTTCTAATGTTATCTCAAGATTTCCATTTCACTTTTATTCCAACTGCCAACAATTACCCTCTTAAAGCACAAATCTGATCCTTGTCACCCTACTGATTATAAACCGCATGTTAGGGTGGGCATTTAGCCTAAGCGGGCATACCCACTACGATGCTGGCATCGCCTTTCTGCCTTGTGCTACTTTGTCCTGATTATATACATACCCCAAGATGCACCACTTGTCACTCCCTAAAGCTCATCGGGTGCTTTCTGCCTTTTGATGGACCACCCTGAAGGCCCTACTCTCAAAGTCCTCAGTCACCACATCCACAAACCCTGCCGGTGAGAACTAACCTTGCATCCTTCTCCATTCCTTTCACATGAATAATGTAGTGTGTCTAACTGCTAATCATCCATGTATCTATTTGACCCATAGGGAAGTAAACCTGTTTAGGACACACACTGGGTTTTATATTCTTTCAAGCCTATTAAAGAACCATCAATGTAATAGAGCTTCAAGTCTTAAATTAACTCAGCCTCTTAAGGCAAATAAATGCAATCAATTCAGAGCTGTGTTTTAAGGGGCCGATGAACAACTGGTAGTTACTTACAACATAAGAAAAATGACTGGAGATCAAATGTAGACTCCATAGTAGTGTCATGATCAAGCAGCTGTGAGCGGGACAGTGGCGGACTCCATGCCAGGGAACTGCCTTTCCCATCTCGGACAATCATCTTCACCGCTAAACATACTCACACCCTCAGATACGCTCAGAAAACTGGTTACCAAATGACATGTGTCAGTCTGCAAATCACTGAATGACACATATTAAAGATTCAGTCCTCTGGGTGTTCACCTCTAAATAAGAAATCTTTAACATCTCCCTGACTGCCACCAGCATGAGAACAGTCTACAGTTTTGTTCTCTGTGCTTTTATTTTTCACTCTAAGATGAGGGTAATACAGGTTGTCTCCCAGGAGAACCTGAGTACATTAGAGACACAAGGTAAACAAGAAAAAAAAAGATATCCACACTGTTTCTGAAAAAAAACTAAATAAATAAATAAAAAGTCTGAGTACTTCCACTTGCAAGGGATGAGAAAATAATTTGAATGCACTATTTCCTATGGAGAATACTAACTTCTTCTAAATGTGTAAGTGACTGCAACACAAATTCTATCAGTTATTGGGGCTCGGCGCTATAGCGTAGTGGTTAAAGCTCTCGCCTTGCATGCCCGGGATCCCGTTTGAGCGCTGTTTTTAGTCTCAGCAGCCCCGCTTCCCATCCAGCTCCCTGCTTCTGGCCTGGGAAAGCAGTCGAGGACAGCCCAAAGCTTTGAGACCCTGCACCAGCGTGGGAGACCAGGAAGAAGCTCCTGGCTCCTGGCTTCAGATTGGCTCAGTTCCAGCCGTTGTGGCCACTTGGGGAGTGAATCATCGGACGAAAGATCTTCCTCTCTGTCTCTCCTCTCTGTATGTCTGACTTTGCAATAAAAATAAAATAAATCTTTTTTTAAAAATCTATGAGGTACTTTGAATTGGGATCTGAAGACCACTCTGATCACTCAACATGAAAGATCCTGTATCTGTTTACATTACTTGTACTGTCACTGCATTTGTTTCTGAGCTACCGTGTAAGCATTTCTGGAGACTTCTCCATTTGCTCTAATATAAAATGAAACAATGAGTCTCCCTCATATTGGTAGCTTCCTAAATGGGCAATCAACAATTTGAGAAAGTGTATCTTGGCTAAAACATCTGAGGACACAATATTCTCTTACACACTTTAACGTTGTCCATGAACTTTAGGTGCAAGATCAGCTAAGACTACCTGGGGTGGGGGCTTGGCAATGTCTCAGATTTTCTCAGCTAAGTTACTGTAAGAAAATTTCTGAAAGAACAGCACACACATGGACAAAATTGTAATTTCACATTTGAAAGAATTTTCTAGGCTACCTATAAATTCTTACAAAGCAAAACAGTAACTGACACCTTCTTCCTTCTTAAAGAAATCTACAGTGAGATGAAAAGAAAAAAAAGGAGCAAACATTACAAAGTGCTTACGTGAGAGCTACTAAGCTTGCCACTTTTTTTCTGTACTGTTCAATGACCACATTATAAAGGAGTGAATTTCATCCCATTTTAAATGGCTACGTGAAGATTTGGAAAAGCTAAAATACTTGTCCAAAGTCACTACTTCGCAGGTTGCCACAGAGGAACTGTGATCAAGCCAGCCTGGACATAAGGCCAATGCAGCTTGCCCTCAGGACAAAAATCACAAAATATTCTGAGAGGCTCACCCAGGGCCAGCGAGCA